TCACCTAATGAGCATTTTGCATAACTCGTTTTGATCGGTCAGCTGACAATTGGGGTTTAATATCTGTAAAAAACCAACAAGCTGTTTGCTTATGAATATACTTATCCTTTCCATCAATTTTAACACGGAAATAGGAATTTGATAACGATGGAGAGATTGTATCAAATACTCTCATTCCATTGAAGTCAGATTTGCCGTTGGCGTCTACTGTAGATGTATCATCTTCATCTTCAGATGAATTCTCGTCGTTACAATCCGTTGAATCACTGTCAGATTCGTCGCAATCAGATTCATCATCGGATAAGTAGCTTTCATCTTCTTTGTATTCTACTTCTCTGAGTTTTTTTTCAAATTCAACAAATTGAAACGAACTGATCTGGTTAATATTCGTTTTCTTCTTTTTCTCTAAAGCTCCGTTAACATTAACTTTCGAAAGAAGATCATACGCATCATCAAATGCTAGATTAATAACTTTTTCGATATTGTCATAAGTCAGATTACTACATGATAAACTAGAAATATTCTTTTTCATAACAGCAATCGTTTGTCGCCGTTTATGATGTTTTGGAAACTGCAACAAGCAGTCTGCTTGACCTGATTGACTTCGACATTCGAGGTCACTTAAAACTGAAAGTTTACTGGCTCGTTTAAGAAATTGTTCTGTCGAGAAATTTACTACAGAAGAAAACGCTCCTGACATTGACCTAGCAAGTCTAAATGTAGACTCACAAGATTGAGAATGATAATTCGATATCGACAAGACCGATTCAGGTAAGGTTTTTTGACATACAAGAAGAGCAATTGCAACTAAAGAATGTGCATTAATTTCGATAGAAAAATGCGCTGGTAAAGTGATAAATAAGCTCTTTCTATCTTTCTCAGCGTAGCATCCTAACATGTCTTTCTTATCAGCTACATGAAGCCAAGTAAACCATATCCGACATAAAAACACAGCAAACTAAGCATGATAGATACGTTCTGAAATTGGAGTACTGTGATCTACATAAGCTATAATGATACTACGTAAGAGACGTAAGTAAATTTGTGTAGCTTTAGAATCATCGATATCTTCGAGTGCTAGAAGCACGTCATCACTTGCAATCCTAACACATGATGAGAAATTCTGACGATCTTTAGGTTCGATATCGGTTTTGACAAGGCCGTGAACAAATTTTGTTTTAGTTAAGATAAGGTCGATTAATTTGCTCGTCGAAACTTCTCCATTTCCAATCAACAAAGTTGCTGTCTTGGACAGCATACGATTACGAATCTTCGTACACAGATGTACAGGATCTTGGAAACAGAAGAACGCTTGCCGACATGGCATGAAAAACCATGATGACCATCCTCTTGGAAGACGAATTTCGAAGATGTCATTACGATTGATGACTGATGCATTGATATACTTAGCGAAAAAACCTGTAGCAAGGCGCATCGCTAGAAGATAGCGTGGATCGCAATCAGTCGCAAAAGAGAGAATTTGAACGTTCGACCTTTTACAGTCTTCGAATATTCGCATCCATCGATTTAAAACGTCTATAGACTTAAAGTCATTGCTAATGCCATACGCCGCCAGTAAAAACGGTGATGAGTACGGATTAGATGATACGAGCGGCTGAATCATATGAATATTTAAATGATCTGCCTTATCATTATTCTCGAACCACGTTCTCAACTGATCAAACGAATCCGTCTGAAAATGTCGAGATACAGGAATTCCGTTTTCCAACGGAGTTGTGAATCCTGTAAAAGTATTAGTTGCTGCGGCGTAATTTATTTTTCTTATCACTGCAGTCGAATCTTCCGAACAAACAGCAAAGTGATAATTAGAAACTTTCTGGTTATTAAGAAGAGTATTGTATCGAAATACACCTTCTTCAATGCTTTCTCCTGCTTTTCTTAAGCTATCATTTACTGCAGTTAACCCTGGAAGTGCACCAGGTAAATTCATTCTCATGAACTCGTATACATTTCGACCGCCTAATATATATAATGCATGTGCGAAGTCCTGTACAGATTTGCTGTATCGATAATTATTCTTATTTCTCAACAGATTACTCAAAATATTTTCGATAAAATCTATGAGAAACGAGTAACTCTTCTGTGCGCTGTTATTAATATTCAACGGACAAGAATCTTTGAATTTTCTCAATAGAGATTGAAGATTATCTTCAGAACTATCGACCTGTACACATGGTTGATTATGAACGTTTGCAGCTCGAAGAGCTGTAATAAAACGATCAAAGTCCAAACGTAGACCAGGCTTGAGCATCATAGTACCATCTTCAAGATGAAGACATGCTCCTTCGTATATAGTTTCTAATTCTCGATATTTCTTCTGAAAAACAAGTAAAATATCGTTTTCTGCCGTTAACAACTTATACACTGAGTTGATCGATAATAATTTCATTAAATCTTTAAAAGCAGCTCCGCATGCTCGATTAACTAGCTCAAAAAATTCTGCTCCCTCGAGAGAGAGAACGTTATCAGGCAAGACGAAAGACGGATATGTTCGAAACATTTTCGACGATTTCTATGGTGAAAAGGATTGAGTATGAAATTTCTGTCTAGTTTTAAATAACTAAGAACTTACTTTCAAGGAAGAAAAGTAAAGAGCAAAGAATGAGAGTAACGAATAAACAGCAAAAGATGCAAATGAAGAAAGATCAACAGTGTTTATAGCTACAGAGAAGAGAGAGAGAGCGAGAGAAAATAGAAAGTCTGTCTTTTTTTCTCACATGTGGAAGAAAAGTTGGCTGAAGCTCGTATTATTTGAATTCATCATGGAAATTTTTGCGTTCGGAATCGTTTAACCGTTGGAAGTTCGTTATTCGCCTACCAGTCGTTATATAGATAAACAGTATATGATCAGAAGGCAAAGAATTTATACAAAACATTATCAAAGTATATACATTTAGTAAATTGGATACATTATAACCAGAAGATGAGAAGAACATGTTACATCGTTGGATTTAGTCAGATGAGTACTTAGTCAAAGATGTCATCAACGATGCTTTTGGAGTGACCGTGCAGTTTCAATTAGTTCGAATAAACCATAGATAATATTTCTTAGTAGGCAAATTTTTATTAATTGGTGTACAGTATCACGTCCTATTTGTTCTAATTCTTTTTGTAAAACGCCTATTTGATATTTNTATTAAGAAACGAATACACACTGCGAATGCCTTGAACCTGGAGTAGTTTCGCTTCACCTTCGCCAGCTATTTTCTGAACAATTTCATAGAATGGGCCATCGCAAAGAGAAAGTACATCAGTTGGCAGAATAGATGTATCGAAATGCAATTTTAGCTCAGGCATAATTAAACTAAGAATTTCAGCTCTATCCGAGCAAAACGAAATATGTTGACGCGATTATTTTCACTGATAACGTTCGAAATTACATATAACAGATGTTTTACGTTTCTAACAGATTTAGATGATACTTGTTTTTATACGTCGATATACTACATTAATAATTAAATTCATATGTTCTAGTCAGCACAATTTTTATATAATTTAAGGTTAACGCAATGCAAAACTCGAGCAAATTTTTTTTGCTAATGTTTTTACGTAATCTGGTGCAGTTTGATGCGCTGAATCCGAATATGTATGATTTATTTAGATAAAAGATAATCTACCTACCGGAAATCGATAAATACTGCGAAAACATAGGGGTTAAAAAAACAGGTTTTCTACTGGAATTTTGACGATGTCGCTTCGAAAAAATTTATTATAGCTTTGAAAGCTTTTTTTCTGTGAATTCAGCACCGAAAACTGATACTAGGACACTAAGTTTTCATCGCTCAACGCATATCTTTCTCCTTGAAAAAATTTATTTCTTTTCATACGCCAACCATTCGAGTGAAGCTCACTGAAAATGCATCAACTCATTTTCTAATGAAGATAGACACTTTTTTCTTTCGCCATTCGACTTCTTGGGTACCATAGATATAATCTACGTTTTATCTTTCCTTAACTCACTTTCTTTCTCAAAATTTCCTAGTCATTTTTCGACCATTCGTTTCGTACATGTATTTTTCGACTTTTAACAGCGATTTTCGCTTATTTTCTTTTTTCCAATCTAATTATACGTTCGGAATGAGAAAGATCGTTGTTATTATCATTTGAAGGGCTGATCTAACTATTTTGAAAAAATTTTAGGGGTATGGATGAAATTAGGTTGGTTGAGGGTGGGTGCAGTCACCGTATGTCTAAAGCTTATAAGACACATATTTCCTAGACACCCTCACCCACTAATACGTTCGCTTTCAGCCACATTTTCATGGTAAGGATGGTTCTTCGACGCCTCAAACGCATCCGAACCACACTCAGTCACACTCAGGATTATGTCCCACAAAACTACATATATCTCAAGAATGGCCTAATAGCGTTTTGAAATGATAATAACAACGATCTTTCTCATTCCGAACGTATAATTAGATTGGAAAAAAGAAAA